GGAAAAGATGTATTGTTGCATAGTGTTCATATTCGATACATGTACATTTATGTATTCAGGCATGATGATATGACTATGTAGTATTCAGTTATGTTATGTATTGGATTGCATGCTATTAGATTTGTGGCACGGAGCCAAGTTCAGCATGCGCCCATAGATGGGTATCTGAGTATATTTGCATGACTGGTACTTCTAGAAATATATATTGTTTAAACTGTCTATCAGGAACTCTTGAGTGTGGGATTGGAAAATCCCCAGTTGTCCGATTTACAGAGGTTACTCTGTCCGATTTTCGTCTCCGTAAAATAAGAATTAAATTAGAAGAAGTATGCAATGTGATATGTCATGTGAAAAAAGATTAAAGGAAAAGAAAAAGTTAGTTCGTATTTTCGTAAGTTAAGTCTTCCGCTGTTTCTGTTTGTATCATATGTATGTTAATTGAACCGGCTCGAGACGGGGATGTTACACCAGACATAACAGAGGCGTACACCATCAGTCCCGAGGGAGGACCCCAAAGCGGACATCCGGGTACTATACAATCAATGGCCAGAGATTGTTACAGAAATCATATTACAGAAGTCATATCAGAGCAAAACATATCATGTTATCAAATAACTCTATATGAATGCATCTATACCAAGCATCTAAATAACAGTCATACAGTCCAACCATAGTTCACTAACCATGGTGGAGCACTCAAGTAGGAAAAGACTCCTTAAACATAGAGCTTACCTCTTGAAGCTTTACCAATACCCTTACTTGTTGCACAAGTTACTTATATATCTTCAAGAGATTCTGATTCCTTTTTAGTCCCTAGGTACACCTAGAGCAAGAATCCACAAATACCAATTAATAAAATGCCATCATGCCTAGCTTTCACATAAGGCATACATTTTATCGCTTCTTTTCATTTCTTTGCATTTTTGCCAATCCTATGCCAATACACAAGTCTAGACCTCTTTATAACCGTTGGTGTTCTTTAATTTAATCACCCATTCCCTTAGGAATTTTCAACATAAATCATGCTATTTTTCTTCAAAACTCATCACTTTTATACAATTTATTACAACACATTTTATTTAAAATAAAATGTACAAATATATCCCTCAATACCCTATAGGTCGAATCCTATAAGGAAATTTCCAAAGATCCATCTCTTTTACAATACATTTTCTTTACTTCCTTACAACTTGCAAACACCTAGGCATGCATCCACTAGGTTCCTATTTTGAGTTTAGACACCAAGTCCTTTTTACTTAGGCATTCTTACTAACTCATCCATTTTCACTCATTTCCAACACATTATACCTTCACAATACATAATATAATAGGGCTTTTCAACACATTACTTAGGTTCCTATTTTGAGTTTAGACACCAAGACCCCTACTCCCACCATGAAGGCCGAACCTAGGAGGAAAAATACAATAGGGCTTTTCAATTATTTTATCACATGTGGATGCTTACTCAACACTATAACTTCCTAAACAATAATAATCCATCATAATTTTCACATTCTATACTACTTTATTTCCTACCCAACCATGCTCATGACTTTCAAAACATTATTCACAATAATAAAGCCATAGAACTACCCAATGAACTACCCAAAGCCTAGAAGGCCTTCACCAAGCAAAGCTCCCTCCAAAAATCCATTTTTTCTTCTTGGTGAATAGTAGCTCGAATTTGGGGGAGAGAAGAACTCTTCACACACTCAACAATAGCTCAAATTGATGGGTGGAATGGGTTCATTGGGTGGTTTACAAGCAATCTCATGTGGTGGACTTTGTGTTTTGGTTGAAGATTGATGGAGAAATCAAGCAAAATCAAACCAAAACCCTAACCCCCCCCTTAGGTGATGAAGAGCTCGGGTTTTTGAGGGAAGGGAGGAGAGAGAAACTGAGGTGAATAGTGATCTTAAGTCACTTAAGGTCCTTATAAGCACATGTGGCTTTTAACAGATGTTTTTCTTTCGCGTATGTTCACTTAACTAACCCGGAACTAATTTAAAGCTACGGACTTATTTTTTTTTATTTTTCTGAATACATTTACATTCATTTTTATTTCCTAAGGAACAATATTCATAATTCACAGTATGGTTTCTGCACCGTTTTTGACGAAATGCACTGTGAACCACTAACTGTACTTTATTTATTTTTGAAACTTAACACTTATAAACTTATCATTTTCTTGGGCCTATATTGACTTGCTTGGCATATATTGGACTTTCTTATTCTTATTTCATCATTTATTTGCTTCTGGGCTCTACCGGTTGCTTAAACAGCAGTACAAAATACCCGGTAGAAACACTATTCACGAGATTTTCACGGAAAGTGCCAGACTATACAATTTTTCGTTCTGAACTCATATTTGACGTCAGAATTGTCAAATTACGTCTCTAAAATCATTTTTAATCATTTAAGCTCTACCGGTTAATTCACCAAAATTGCAAATTATCCGGCAGAACGCACTGTTCATAACATAGTCATGATTACAGTCAAAATACTCGGAATCACTCACTGAATCTAATTATGGCATTTTAATCCTTTAATTAAATCGCTAATTAAGATTTACCATTTATGTTCATTATAAATATCACACACTTAACGGAATGAGATCACGTTTATACTAGAATGTGTTAACTAATATTTTCTTTATTTGCCAAAGGGTAAAAATTCATTTTACCTGCCTAAAATATAGCCTTTTCTTAACATTAACTTACCTCTTGAGGTTAGCAATTTATCACTTAACTTCTTAGAAGTATATTTTCACGTGAAAATAACTTTTTTATTTATTTAAATCAAGCATGTCACATGACATGCACATCCAATGACCTCCCCATTACACAAACTGTATTTGTTTTTTTAAATCACTTATCCTCCAATTTAGTTAGTGTCTCAATGTTAACTTCCATTTAATAGCTGGAAAAGAAATATATATATCTATAAGAAGAGATTTTTTGACTCCGATATAAAATTTAGAAGTTTTACTCCTTATCTTAACCATTAATTTTCGTCTATCTAAAAGTTATAATTTACTAAAGGGAAAACTTCATTTTCACCCATTGAGATTTTGTGATTTATCCTTTGACCCCTCGTGGTTTTAAACTTATCACTTAGATTCACTGTGCTGGAATACTTTATCATTTAACCTTCTATGGTTTCAAATTTTTACTTAGACCCCTTGTGGTTACAAAAAATTTCACTTAAACCCTTGTGGTTTATAAAATAAACATTTTAAAAACATATTTAAAATAATTTTTCTCTCTTTTTTATTTTATATCCTCATGTAATGCATTTAGGGTTTGAAAAATATTTTAAGTTATTTGTTCTGAAATTAATTTATAAATTATCTTAATTTTTTTATTTTAAAAAATATATTTGAAATTAAAAAGATTATTTAAGATGAAATTAAAAAAAATTATTTATGATAAATTAAATATGTGCTATCAAAATAAGATCTTTACTTTCTTTAAATAGATAAAATAAAAATATTTGATTTGAATTTATTTTCTTGATAAAAATAAGTTAATTTTTTTAGAATTTATTTTTTATTTTTTAAATCTTAAATGCATTAGGTGAGGATATAAAATAAAAAAGAGGGAAAATTTATTTTCCACTTATTTAATTTTTATAATTTTTATTTTTAAACCACAAGGGAGACGTCTAAGAGAAAATATTTTTAACCACAAGGAGTCTAAGTGAAAATATGAAATCACGGAGGGTTAAATGATAAATTATTTAAGCACAATGGGTCTAAATGATAAGTTTAAAATCACGGGGGGTCAAATGATAAATCAAAAAATCACAATTGGTGAAAATAAAGTTTACCCTTTACTAAATTATGGGTAAAAGATTTCTCCAGTCAATGGAGATAAGTTATCTCCAGTGAGTCCAAAACGACGTCATTTTGGGACAGAAATCAAGGTAATTTTATAATTATAATATATTGCAGAGTTATATTAATCTTTATCATTTTAATTTTTTAACCTTATAACCTCAAAACGATATCGTTTTGAGCTCACTGGAGATAACTTTATCTCCGATGACTGGAGAAATATTTTTCCCTTAAATTATATCAATTAATTAATTATTAATCTTACATAAATGATAACCGTTAGATAAACGAAAATTAACGTCTGAGATGAAGAATAAAACTAATAAAACTTTTAAATCTTACAATTAAGTCAAAAAATCTTTTCCATATATATATTCATGGGAATAAGTTGAGAAGGGCTATATTTGGTAAAACTGATTTATCAGAACTCACTGCAACCTCTACACTGAAAAGTGAAGTTCATAAGAACGGGTTTGCTCTTTGTTAAATGCAACCAAATCTCGTAAATAGAGAGTTAGTGATTAACAATTTTGTGAGATAAACAAGGTTCAAGATAACTAACGTTACCGCCCCAATTCAATAATTAATTAATGGATTATATTTATCTTATGTTGCATGAAATAAACAAATTTCCTACACACATAAAGTAGAGACGTGTCTCACATTTATTTTTCTCTCTCCTCTTACACGTGAATTTCACTTGTAATTTTATTTCTTCAACATGATATAATCATTTTTTTACGACATAAGATAAATATTAGCAATCTCACCAGCAATTCACATTCACATATGCACCTCCAAGTGGTACATGACATTTCAGGCGCTGTACATATACATGACAATATGCAAGTCTCCACAATTCACATGAAACGATAAAGATTATGAAGTCCACTCCAACCTATTTGACAATGAAAACAAAAACACAAAATGAAGGGTCAAATTGATTTGGTTTTTTTTTTTCCCCCCTCAAAACCATTTTGTAGAATAATTAATGAAATAAGTGCTTTCTATTTATTTTTAAATTATATGTTCTCCAAATTTGATTCTAAAAATTAAAAACAATTATAATTTTTAAAATTATTTTCATAAAACAGACCTTATCAAATATGTTTTTTTTTTTCTGAAAATTCAAAAACTGTTTTTGAAAACAGAATTCAAACATGCCTGAAAACTCCAATGTCATAACATTTCATATTGCAGACGGTATTTAAGAGTCTGCAGCCAGAAGCTTGTCATATGCACAAAACCTAAATAATTATTTCCAACACCAGAAGTATGAAAGATGACATTAATGATCAATTTCAATTACAGATCATCCTGCCCTATTGCTGGTTGGGGTCAGTTGAAACATCAAATCCAGGAGGTATAAAAATAACATCATCCCAGTTCGATCTAGAATTTCCCTGCAAAATTATTTAATTGTTAGTTTCAACATACAAAATAGATTCATTAGATAAAGTATAGTTATAGCAAACAACCCCCCCCAAAACAAAAACAAAAAGTAAAAGAAGAGAAAAAGAAAGGGGGAATAACAAATACAAATAGTTAAATGAATCTGTGCCCCTGTATTTCATCTTCCCGCACTAACTATGACACTCACCTTCATTTCCTTAATTACATCCTCTAGAGTGGCAACCTGAAAAATAAATCATGGGTAAGTAGTTCCATTGAAACAACAGGTCATGCATAGAGGGGACTGTTGTAGTCTATACCTGGATATCCCCTTGTTTCAGAGCAGGATTTAATTTCTTCTGCTGACTGGATGCCCTTTGAAGTGAATTTTCTAAGTCCTCCTATGAAAAATTCGAAGGCAACAAACAAAAAATTCTCAGCTTCATTTACAACTACCTAAACTCATGCAACTCAACGCAGGTTCATCAACTATACCTTTCTGAAGAAAAGTGGACGATATCTCTTATCTTGGCTCTTCAATATCAAACTTCTGGACTGAAACCCACCAGTATAGCAATTCAAAACACTATTTCAGGGATTCAAGCAAGATAATAAATGAAGGTAACATAACATCAATAGAAATGAAGCGCAATCACAAATTATAATAACAAGATTATAAGAATCAGCACACCAAATATATTTGTAAAACAGCACAACATATCCAGTTCGTGGGGTCTCGATAAATATAGTATCACTGTCAACCATTTTTTCTTCATATCATAAATCTATTGAATGGACAAGGCTCCTCTAAGTCTGGAGTGATATTGTTTTGAAAGTAAGCAAGGGTGTATATACCCTTGATTTAATTTAAAGTGAATCATGATCTTAAGTCTTAACCAACTAAAAAAATTAAGAGCAGATACACCCTCACTTTAGAGACAAACTCACTTCTATTGGGGCTTTTTCCTTATTGAACAAGCGGTACTGACAGAACTAGACCAGAATATGAGAAAAACCGAGTAATCTTTATTCCAAACAATCAATTTCTGCACTAGTATCAATGTGATACAAAACACAAGTACAGAGAAAAATTCTCTTCCTCACCCAGATATTCAGGAGACCTGGACTCTCCCTCCCAATCTCTACTTCAAGTCTAAAACTAATCACTATTATTTTCCTCATATTATTTGTACCCTTTCATCTTCTCCTTCTCTAAGTACCTAACTAACAGAGATAGTCCCACTCCTAATTGGGGGTCTGCTATCAGGTACATATTCAGATCTGTCAAGAACTTTGGGATACACCACCCCAAAAGCTAGCTCAAAGGGTGGGAGTGCCCAAGGCCTTATAAACTCCACATTAGTTGCTCATACAACCAATGTGGGACTATATATCTCAACACGCCCTCTCACACAAGAGCCCATTGGGCTTGAAGAGTGGATGATGCAACACGCCCAGCCTACCTGTGCTAAGAAATTCCACAAGAGAAAATGGGGGGCGGCGAGGTTTGAACCCGGGACATGAGGCTCTGATACCATGTCAAGAATCTTGGGATACACCACCCCAAAAACTAACTCAAAGGGTGGGAGTGCCCAAGGCCTTATAAACTCCACATTAGTTGCTCATACAACTAATGTGGGACTATATATCTCAACAAGATCCAAGACAGTCAAAAACTCAAGTGACTCCAAAGGTTATTACCCGCGGATGTAATTATGTACATCCGTGCTATCCTGCCTCCATCAAACGAAAGGGGTGCTGATCGATTGAGTTGGAAATACAATGGAAATAACAAAAATTTGGTCAGTAATGCTTACTATAAAATCATGAAATTTGACACTCTCATTTCTGACCCTATTTGGAATATTATTTGGAAGTGGAGAGGTCCACAAAGAATTCGGTCCTTGCTTTGGATGATTCTTCATGGGAGAATCCTTACTAGAGAAGTAACTTCCAAATGGGGTGACTCTCCTTTGTGCCGTAACAATATTCCAGAGAGCATTTCTCATGTACTTCGTGATTGTAAGCTAGCCAGCCCTATCTGGAATACCTGATTTTCTGGAAATATCCCTGCAAATTTCATGACCCTTCCTTTGAATGATTGGATTCTTAAGAACCTCTTAAAGGGTTGGTCTCATCAGCAAATCTTTGATTGGCATGATATCTTCTTCACAACAGTCTGATTTCTCTGGCATTGGAGGAACAATGATGTTCATGACTCTTCCTTCTCCAGACCCGTTAATCCTACTTTGCTCATATCTTCCTATATAGGTCAGTCTTCCCTCTCGTCCTCAAGCTAGCAACACCAATCTTGTGAGAAAGCAGGTGAGATGGACCGCTCCTCCCCATGGCTGGTGGTAGTTGAATGTCGATGCTGCTGTCAATATCTCCTAGAAAGTGGCTGCTTGCGAAGGGCTTATCAGGAATGAGAATGGCACGTGGATTTCTGGCTTCATGTATAGCATAGGGACCTGTCCTCCTATGACTGCTGAGCTTTGGGCGATCCATAAGGGTCTCCAAGTTGCTTGGAACAGGAATGCTCAACTCTTGGTTGTAGAAAGTGATTGTCTCATGGCTATTCAGGCCATCACAAAGACTAACGCGGCCCTCCCTAACAATCAGTTAGTTGACAGCATTAAGAGTTGGTGCAATAAGAATTGGCAAGTGGTTTTCAATCACGTGAGAAGGGATGGTAATGGTTGTGCTGACTACTTGGCTCTTGACTTAGGTGCAAATTTTGTTCTGCTTTCTGTAGCTCCTTCTGAGATGAGTCCTATGCTGGACTCAGATGTTTCTTTCTTGTAGTTTCTTTCTTTTGGGCTTTGCCCCTCCTTTGTACTAAAAAAAAAACTCAAGTGACTCAACAGCCAGGGAGATTTTTAGGCCACCATAGGTTTGTATGTATCCCACCCAGTAAATTTATATGCACTCACTAGTCTTATCTTTGCATAAAGGCAGGGAAAAGAGGTTTAGCTACACTTTAGGTTCACATATTACAAATTAAAGCTAAGATGCAGAACTGAAATATGAGATTTTCCAACTGATGGTTATTGATAGGCTTAAGGCATTCATGATTCCGAAGTCACAGGTTGGAAGAAAGGAATCATGGTTTATGAATACATGAATGGGCGGTTAATCTGAGGTTTGAAAAAGGCAGGACTCCAGGCAAGTGCTAGCAGGAAATTCTGCTTCTCTTTATGTTGGATTTGAACTGAGTACTTTGCGGTTGAGAGACAAGTTCTAAACCAACAAGCCACTCTGGAACCAGCACTAGCAGGAATTTCTGGGTAGGAGTAAATTACAAGAATTTTAGATGGTCTATAGTTAGCAATAGCCACACAACTTTTCACTTTAAGAAGGAAGTGCCAACAATAAGTTCCTCGGGGGCAGAGTAAGAGACTTTATGAGCCATACGGGAAACTTCCACACTTTTCATATGCCAGGGAAGGGTAGTCGCAAACCCATACATGAATGTATTTACTTCCCTGACCACATTAAAATATTAATCATATATGTAAAACAAAGATATGACTCAAAGACAAGTAAGATCAGTACAACAGAACAGAAAGTGTATGATAGGAACGGAAAACAGGTATGAGTATTGTTGTATTCACAAATCAGAATTCCCTCTTCTGAACTGATATTAAATTGATAACAGTGCCAGAAGGAAGGACTAAAGAGTGTATCTCTCACTCTCACTCTTTCTGATAAGCTGATTCTTTCCCCTTTTTATTTAAATAAAATCAAACATACAATTTATATACACTAAAAAATACAAACATTACTAAGAGGCTTCACATTCAACCACTCAGCATCACTTGTTCACTGATGCTTCACAAGTGAAGACCATGTCAACCACACGGTTATGAAATTTATGGGTTTTCATTATTATGATCATGTACTTCTAAGATGCAAGATCACTTTTATTTTATTTTTTTAAGCGTATACATGTCCTTGATCTTTCACCCGATTTTGAACAAATTTCTGCTTCTCTATCAACAGACAAGCAGCATAGAAGCATTCTCTGCCGCAAAAGAACAATCACGGTTGTCATTGTAGACAAGGACCAGAATCAGTTCTTTCTCATCTTAGTCTTTTTCTCTCTTTTCCTCAAAATTTATACAGTATTAACATTTTGCAAAACATTCCTTGAATCCCCTATGGCCCTATTATCAGATTGCTTGTAACATAGGAACTAAGAGTCCAAGACACAAATGACGTATCCAGACTTAAAAAGCTGAGAGAAGAACCTGGAAAACTGGAACACCAGAAAAGTCATCGGAAGGTAAGCCAGATTTTTCCCTCTCCTGTAAAGCACAAGCATACATAATCACTACTCTATACCTCAAATGACAAGTAATAATCTAAGCAGGTAGGTTATGCAGGCAAAATTCCAAACTTCACATTAACTAATTTTCAGCAAGCACGACCAATTTCTAAAAGTTGTACCAAACTAGCCAGTTAGAGTAACATAATAGGAAAATTATGTTGGTGAGAACCAATCAAAAAATTCTTAGCAAAAGGTAAAAATTAAAAAAAGGAGAAAAACGAAATTAACTCACACGCAGTGCATTCTTTACTTGAGAGAACTCAGGTATTAATCTAAAAGCAACCCCATTCACCTTCAGCTGAAATACCTACAAAACGTGACAAAAGCAAAACCCCATTTTTTTTATTTTTCTGAAGCAAATGAATCCCAAGAGAGAGTAACGCAAATGTAAAAGTGTGAACCTTGTTCAAAGCAACAGGGACAACTTTGGAACCTTGACGCATGTGAGGGTCAATAGCGGTAACCTGGTTAAGAAGGGTCTCAGCATCGTCCTTATTGAAGCAAAAGAGGCCAAGATTTTTCCCTGTGGAAGCACCCGAAACCAACAAGAACTCTTCAGCGGCATTGCTCAGGGCGTACACAGGCACGCCCTCCAAACGCTCCTCGATTGCCTCGACCGACATGGGCCTGGGCTTTCCGTTTTGGGAAATTCGAGCCCACGGTGGGCTTGTGCCGTCGCGGTTGATTTTGAAGGTGGGGAATCCGAGCCCATGGTGGGGGGCTTTGAAGGGTTGTTGGGTGAGGTTGTGGAGCAAGGTAGAGCAACTACGTTGAAGGTCCTGAAAAGCTTTCTGGAAATTCTCCAAGTTCATCTTTGTGTGTAGCTGTGGCTCGTGATGGAGTCGATAAAAACCCAGGTGAGAAGTAGGGAATCTTCAACGCCTGGTTTGCAAGGTTCTTCTGTATTGAAAACTTTAAGAAGAACCGAGGTTTTACAAGTGAAGAGGATAGCTTTTAAATAAAATTTGGGAATTATATTTATTTCCTACACCAATAAATAAAAATATACATGATTCATTTTTTTTTCCCCTCCTTACTCCTTGCATGATTTCAACCATTTTTATATGTATAAAATAAATAAAATTAGAGAAAAATATTTATGAAGTTACTGCATACAAATTATCTGCATTTATTCCCAAAACGACGTTGTTTTGATATTAAAATCTTAAAAAATTATATATATAAAATTATTATAATCCTGAAATAAATTAAAATTACAAAAACACTTTGATTTTCGTCTCAAAACGACGTCGTATTGGACTTACTGTAGATAATTTATCTGCATTAACTGCAGAAAAAGCGAACCCATAAAATTATCTCTGTGAAAAGTATTAATCACATCAACAATTTTATTTTTTTTTGAAATATTCTAATCGGTTCATTGCTTCACAACTAATCCGATTTGGGGCGGGTCCAGAATTAAGGCTTTAAACCCCTTCCAAAGGTGGTACTGAGGAGATTCGAACACATGCTCTCATCCTCACCTGCTTAGTTCTCATGCGCCAACTGAGCTACCACTAGGGGTGATAAACGAGCCAGGGGCCTTCCAGGAGCCTTTGGCTCAGCTCGTGAAGGCTCAGGCTTACATGCCTAATATTGGTTGTTGGAATCAGGTTTGGACTTGTATAAAAGCTCGTTTAGTAAAAAGGCCTCAGGCTCCAATTCAAAAGCTCAGCCTTGGAGCCTCTCAGGCTGGCTTAGTATATTAATTTTTATTTTTATTTATATTTTTTATACTATTTGTAATAGCCCTCTCTCTCCTCTCAGTTCATTTCACCCTATTTTATTAGTTAAACAGACTTTTTGAACGATTTTGTTTTATATTATGTTGTTTCTATATACATTGAATTTATGAATATTTATGAAATTACTAGTGTTGTTGATTGTATATTTTGTTTGGATAAATTTTTATTGTCTTTATTTTTTTCTAACGGGATCAGGCTTTTATTTTCTGTAAATAAGACAGGTCACAAGCCGATAATTATATTCGTAAAAGGTAACAGACTTAGTAAGGCCGACACATTTAATCACAGACTTAACCTTTTAAAACCAAAGCTCGACTCGGCCCGTTAACACCCCTAACTACCACCATTTGGTATCACATCAATAATATATCATAGACATAACTTCAATGTTTTGTGGTTTTGTTGTAATTACAGTTAACGATATGTTTATTTGAAGTCAAGAAATATTTTCAATATTATTAAGGGAAGAGTTCACAGACACTTCCTCTGACCTGGGAACGATCTCATCTCATGAGCTAAAAAAATGGTAATGTAATAATGCAAAAAGATAAAATGTGAAAAAAATATAACAAGTCATTGGAAAGAATTCATTGTCATAAGGTTTATTCCTTTATCATTTATCTCGTAAACTTTTTTCTTCTTTTTTTCTTTATCACCTACCGCGTACTTTTTTTTTCATTTAAGTCCATATTTAATACAGTTAAAAATTTGATTAATCCTAACTTGCTACGTATTTGAGATTAGTAATCGATTTAAAGAACTAAAACTTGTGGGATATCTTGAGAAGCCTACTTGTCTCTAGAGGTGGCAAAAATAGTCGGCGTGTCCCGACTTGCCAAAATGGATTGATCTGCCCGGCCCTGCCTGTTGATTGTGGGTTGAAATATCCAACCACCTCATTTTATGATGGGTTGGCGGGTCAACCTGCCTAAAAAAAATAAAAAAAATGTTTTATTAAATTTATAATATTACTTATTTTCATTTCACACTTCCTTTGTTTTTTTCCCATCTCAAGCTTAAATGCATGCTAATATTCAATCAAATATTATTTAGGGACTTATTTTTGCCTTCATATATAGATAACATTTGTCATAAATAAAGTTTTCTTTTCTTTATTTTTTTTAAGATAGTATTGAGATAAAAAAAATTAGATATGACAAAAGCTTAGTGACGACTAAAATATTATCTAATAGTTAAAAAAAAAAAAATTGACCCAGTGGGCCAACCCGCCCTTAACCCGTTTAACCAACAACCCAGCCGGGTGGGTTGAGGCGGATTGGTGGGTTAAGATGTATAACCCAACCCGTCCAATTTGGCGGATTGACCCTCGGGTTCAACCCATATTGCCACATCTACTCGCCTCAAATAGGTAATTAGGGTTTGTATAAAAAAAATAGATTAATCTGTCAACTCTATTCCCATGAAAGACCTGTTCATTTTAGGCAAAAGCACATTTCTAAGACTGTTAGGTAAAAGAAGTGCTCAGTTAAAGCTTATTGGATAAGTTTTTTTCAAACTAATGCAGTCAAACACGTACTGATTCAGTACATGACCAGTCCCGTAACTAATCATTACATGATTGATGTCATGCAAGCGCCACGTAGGCAGTCCCGCACCTAAAAGGTACACCCAGTGATGACACGTGACACAAAATTTTCAACAGTTTTACCGTAACTTTTGACTCGGGTATCCAAATCGGGTGAATTTTATATAACTTTTCGTAATCTATATAATGACACCTCATTTGACATATTTTATCTCTCACAAATATAGATCGAAATAGCAACATTGGTACCATAATCACAAGAACGTTTAAATCCAGAAACTCCCGAGTTATTTCTGAACCAACACCATGAGCTTTAGCATGTACCATCAATTGACACATTTTATCTATGTGAATGATGTTATTTAATTTCTACTCTTATTTTTCAAATATATAACAATAACAAATAATGGTGTCTCATTATGTAAAACTTCTTCGACTTGTCAAAGAGTAGATATCTGTATCCCAAAATTTTCTAATCATGCTAGTGGTTTCCTCTCCATCAACGCGTACAGATAACAACGGATGACAACATTTCTTCTTACGAAAAGCCCTAAAGTATTGATATTGTTGCTGAAAAATTTATTGGTTCAGAGGCTAAACATGGGAAAACTAGGCCAAGAAATTGATGGCACATGCTGCAGCTCATGGTGTTGGTTCATAAAGAACTCGGGAGCTTCTAGGTTTAAACATTCTTGCGATTGTGGTACTATTGTTGCAAATTCGAATTATGTTTGTGAGAGATAAAATATGCCAAATAAGGTGTCATTATGTGGATCTCAAAAAGTTATGTGAAATAAAAAAAAAAACTAATTTGGATACCGAATCAAAAGTTATGGCCTTTCGAAGTTTTGCGATAAAACTGTTAAAAATTTTGTGTCAGGTGTCATTACCAAGTGAGTCTAGTACCTTTTAGGTGCGAGATTGCCTACGTAGCGCTAACATGACTTCAGTTACATAATAATCAATTACAAGACTTGTCAATACTACATTAATTTGAAAAAAATTATTCAATCAACTTTATCTGAGAATTTTTTTGCCCATCAACCTTCTTTTGCCGTTCATCTTACTTTAAAAAACATGTAAAACTGAACAAATGAATGGGGTATATGATCATTATAAACAAAGAGGTTCTGTTCAATATCCTTTAAAATTTATTGTCTAATGTCTCATTGTGAAAAATGAAAATTGGGATACACGTCGTTATGTTTTTTCGATCACTCTTGCACATGCATAAATTAGGTTTAAATGCTGTGAATTTATTAACATTTTTTACGAAAAGGAAACAAATTTGTTAATGGGAGTTCTTTCTATTATTTTAATCTTTTATTTGTTTTAGATTTTAGTTTTAAATTTATCAAAAAAATTAATAGATAAAATTGAAATCAAAGTGTGTAAAACTTAATATTATGTTAACATGTAATTTTGATAGATATGTATAATAAAAACCATAAAAAAATTTCTTCTTACCACAATATTTAATTTCTCAAATTTGGATTTGATAAAATTGTTAGAGAAGTTACACTTTCAGTATCAAGTGGTTGTTAAAAAAAATAACATCGCATGATGTAAGATTTTCATATGTTTATTATCCTAATAGTTTATTTTTTGTATTTTTTAATAAATTAAAAACTAATATTTAAAACATATGAATTATTAAATTAATAGAAACAAAACACCCATTTACAAAAATATTTACTTTTGACAAAAAAATTGCGAACTTTTTACACCGTCTAATCTTATTTAAGTGCATCCCAGTAGTGCCTAAAAATATAACTACATTCATACCAATTTCTATTTTTATAATAAGGTTTCATATTTGTTATATTATATGACTTAATTTCATTTTCCTATACACATAACGAAGAGGAGAAAAGAAGTAGAATGATAAGAGAGAAAAATATATGGGTCAGTCTTACAGGTGAAGAAACTGAAACGTATTTTATTCAACATAACAGAAAGTATGAAAAGGCTATTAAGTTATGCTACATGCGCTCTATTTATAATGTTGTTCTTAACCAAAGAGAAAAGGCCAAGTGGCATTAACTAACTAAAGGAGTAACAAACTAACTGATTGTGTTAATATACAATAACAGAAAACAGTAAGAAGGAAAACTGATAAAACTATATCTCAACACCCCCCCTCAAGTTGGGAGGTGGATGTCTCTAAATCCCAACTTGTCCATAAACGTTCGAAAAGGAGCTGGGTGAAGTCCCTTAGTAAACATATCTGCAATCTGTTGTGAAGTGGAAATGGGCATCAAACGAATCAAACCATTTAGAATCTTTTCTCTTGTAACGTGACAGTCAAGCTCAATGTGCTTGCTACGTTCGTGAAAAGATGGATTACGAGCTAGATGAACGGCTGCTTGGTTATCGCAGTAAACCATTGCAGGTCCTGGAGTATCAACGTGTAAATCATGGAGCAAGTAAGTGAGCCATTGAAGCTCACAAGTGAGAGTGGCCAAAGCACGGTATTCAGCTTCGGCAGATGAGCGACTGACTGTAGTTTGCTTTTTGGATTTCCATGAGACTAAGGCTGATCCAGGGAAAGTGCAGAAGCCAGTTGTAGAACGACGAGTGTCCGGGCAAGTAGCCCAATCAGCGTCTGCAAACCCTGTGAGTGTGAGGTGATTCTGAGAAGGGGAAAACAGGCCTTTAGCAGGGGATCCCTTTAGATATCGAAGGACTCTGCAAGCTGCATTATAATGAGCCTTCATTGGACGTGCCATAAATTGGCTGAGTTGCTGGACAGTAAAGGAAATATCGGGTCTAGTGTTAGCTAGATAGAGCAAGCGTCCTATAAGTCTACGATACACTGCTGGATCATCATAAATTTCTCCTTGATCCTGACACATACGCAAAGTGGGCTCTATAGGTGTGGAAGCAGGGCGTGCACCAAGTAGACCACTATCTGAGAGCAACTCCAGGACATACTTACGTTGATTGACCACTATGCCATGTTGTGAACGGGCAATTTCAAGTCCAAGGAAGAACTTTAAAGGACCAAGATCCTTGATACGGAACAAATGATCTAGATGATTTTTGACTGATTGTATTTCATCAAGGTTATTCCCAGTTAAAACCATGTCATCAACGTAGACTAATAATGCAGTAAAGGAACCATTGCTGACCTTAGTGAACAAGGAATGGTCAGCAGATGATTGGGAGTAACCAAGAGCTAAGAGTTCAGTGGTGAGGCGAGCATTCCACTGTCTGTTGGCCTGTTTAAGGCCGTACAAAGATTTCTGGAGTTTGCAAACTTGATTCGGATGAGGGGCTGTAACTCCATCAGGAACCTTCATATACACTTCTTCAGAAAGGTCCCCATGAAGAAACGTGCATTATTAATATCAAGCTGCTCCAAAAAGTAACCACGAGCTGTAGCAAGCGCTAGTAAGACTCTTATGGTTGTCAATTTTGCCACCAGAGAAAAAGTCTCAAAATAATCAACTCCTTCCATTTGGTTATAGCCCTTAGCCACCAAACGTGTCTTGTATCTAGCAATGGAACCATCTGGATTGTGTTTGATTTTGTACACCCATTTTGAGCCAATTGGGTGTTTTCCACGAGGTAAATCCACAAACTTCCAAGTCTGGTTTTTGTTCAAAGCTGATATCTCTTCATCCATGGCAATGATCCATTCATTTGATTGTGTGGCTTGCTTATACGTTTGGGGCTCAACAAAGGAGCTAATGTTATGACAAAAAGAGGAATATGCAGAAGAACATTTATCATAAGAGATAACTGCTGAAAGTGGATGAATGCATTGATTCTGAGTTGTGTGTGGTTCTGTAACAATGGAAGAATTGCATATAAAATCAATGTGAGATGCTTGGGTTGAGTTCTTAACCTGCTTGAACGTCGTGGCTAGTGTAGAGGAGTGGAAGCATGCATCGGTGGATTTTCTAATGTGTTGCAAGTGTTGTATCAGATTGAGGTGGGAGAGACACGTCAGTATATGTGTTGATAGGTGGAAGGTGTGATGTAGCAACATGTGGTACAGCAGAAGGAGGTGGTAGTGACACGTCATTACTTGTGATGACAGGTGGAAAGTTGGATGCAGCACCATGTGTTATAGCAGATTGAGGCATGTCATATGGAATGCTTGATTCAACCATAAAAGGGCAAGATGGAACCTGTGTATCTGTATGCAGCTTGTGAAAAGGAAAATTATCCTCATAAAACACAGCATTTCGTGAGATAAAAATCTGTTTGGAAACTAAATCATACAAAATGTACCCCTTCATCCCATCTTTGTGTCCAAGAAGTACACACTTCCTAGCTCGTGGATCAAACTTCAAACGACCACTGGTTATTGTAGAGGCATATGTGAGACAACCGAAAACTCTTAGATGACATAAGACTGCTGGCTTGCTATACAATAGCTCATAAGGAGACTTATTTTTCATCATAGGTGAGCAAAGTCGATTTATAATGTGAATAGCATGCATGATACAATATGACCACAAGTCGATAGGAATTTTACTCTGGAAGTGTAAGGCCCTTGCAGTGTTTAGTATGTGTTGATGCTTCCTCTCTACAACTCCATTCTGTTGAGGAGTTTCAACACAGGAAATTTGATGTAAGATACCCTTTGTAACACCCTGTATATATCCGGTAATGTTATCATAATATCGTATTAAGCTGCGCTTAATTAAAATGCGGAATTACTTTTTCTTTTCAATTATGATGCCATTAACATTACCAACTTGCTTAATAATCAATAATAAAACATCGTCTGTATGTAATTGCAATAAAAATAGCTAACTGAAATACCTCATAACATAGATAATATAAGTGTGGCTCTAGTCACGGAACTACAACAATGCAGACCGGACCATCTAACAGTTTATACAACTCCAATCTAAAAGTACTCACAGAAAGTGTCATGGACAATCCCCATGCTCACTCAAATAAGGCAACATGCCCAACATCAGTCTCAACAACAACATATCATAAATAGCGGAAAACATAAACAGCATCCCAAATCCAGTCATGCTAACATAAAGCAGTAAAGCATAATCAGCTAAGCTTCGGCCTCCTGCCGCCTGAGGCATCAGTACCCATACTACCTGATCCTAAAATAAGCATTCCCCAAACGTGGGGTAAGATCTCTAATCTAGAAATCTCAGTAAGTCAGTGAGTCCTCAAGGATCTTCCACCCCAAGCTCACTTACATGTGCAATATAAGTTCAAAAGCAATTAATCATTTATCATTTCTAAAACAATGCAATGCAGCAGATAATCATGCTATGTGTGTCAATACTAATCTACTGGCCAGAGACAGTGCAGGTATACGTCTATCACCTACACACCGTGAAAGTACCACTTGCATTCACTCCGGTACACCGTCTTGTATGGCGCTACATACTCAGGCTTCCCGTCAAGATGAAACAACACATGCATATTAAAAGCCATTACATGTAAAGTTCAATCAACATATCGAATATTCAAAAGCATGTACACAGCATGCATAAACCATACCCTCATGGGACATGGTGGAACCACAACATGGCTAAACCGAGGACACGAAAGCTTACCTTGCAAGCTAACTCCAAAAGCCAAGAGTCCACAGCTCAAAGTCCAAACACAGCAGATTCACAATCTGTTGTGGACCAACAATACATCAACAACATGCACCACAAGCATACAATGTTAAGACAACGCCTTTTCATTACGCTTTATGTCTTAAGGCTTCTCACCAAGCCATAAGCCCTTAATCACTTGATTCTGACTTAGTTCATTAATTACAGAAGTTCAACTTCAGCAATATAGGGTCCACAAACCCCCAATAGCCTACTGTACACACAACACAGCTACTGTTCTACGAAATCCCAGAATATCCGGATATTCCTCAGGGGATATGCAATATCCGGATATGCAATATCCGGATATCCAGAATCCCATATCCCGATATCTATTATCCGGATACTCAAAACCCATATCCGGATATCACATATCCGGATATTCATCAGGCACATATCCGGATATTTCACGACAGAATGCAGAAAATGCATTTCGTGAAGATATCCTTCCAAGGTTCCCTTTTTACCGATTTTAAACACCTAATCATGCATTTCTAGGCGTGTTCAACATTACCCAACAACAAGTTATCATCTTTTAGTCAATAGATGCATCAAGGTACCATTTTTAAGCCTTAAAACTCAAGATCAAAGGTGACAATGCTTACCAAAACTCAACCAGCCAACAAGAGGTGCTCTTGGAGCTCAAAAGGTCACCTCAAGATTCTGTCTCTCTCTGCACACGAAAATGGTATACCAAGGTGGTCCTTTTACTCAACAAGAAAGCTCCTTTAAGCCTCAAAACCCAATGAGCAAGGAGGCAATCCACCCAAACCCCAACTCAGAACACAAACAACCCACAAACAGTGGCCAAACCTCAAGCACAGCACCCTCTCAAGATGTTTCCCAAGTGTTTCCCAAGTGAAAGGATGAAGAAAAATCAAGAAAGATCAAGACTTGGTTCAAGAATGGAAGGAAAGGCCAATAGAGCAGTCACCAAGCAGCTGGTCAGCCCCCTCTCACGTTGGTTTTTCTGTTTTCTAGGGCTATGTGCCCTTAAAAATGGGTATTTATAGTCCAAGCCACTTAAACACACAGTATTAACTTTAATTGCTACGCTTAGCATTTTAATCCCAAACTTTGGATTCTGAAACTACACATTTTTCTAAGATTTATCATATTTTTCTTATAATTTTCTGAGCACTTTTTCGGTACGCGCTTTTCCAAGCCAGTACCGGTTTCTAGCACCAATTCTCATTATTTGGACTTGAAACTCGTTTTACAAGTCCTACATATCATTCTAGTAATTATCATGCACTTATATTAATTTTCCGGGATACTTTTTCGGTACACATTTATACCGACTAGCAGAACCGGTATCTGCACTTTTCTTCCGAAAAGGGACTTTCAGCATTATTACTCACTTACTATAATTATTAAAGCCTCATAATAATTATTAGGGTCAATTATGGAATCATTTCCTATTTTCTCGTAATTAATTAATTAAATACCTTAATTAACGGTGCGGGTTCTTACACCCTTTTGTGCATAAAATTCATCCATCTGAAATTCTTTTCCATTGTCACTGCGAAATGATTTGATTGTTAGAGCAAACTGATTTTTGATGAGAATAACAAAATTTTGAATATGCTGTCTTGTTTCAGATTTAGATTTCATGAGTATTCCCGAAGTGAATCTCGAATAATCATCTACTATTGTCAGAAGAAATCGATGACCATGTATAGAAGACACAACATATGGTCCCCAAATATCAATGTGCACCAAATCAAAAGCTGAATTTGAAATAGTTGAACTAATATTGAATGGTAATTTTCTCTGTTTTGCTAAATGACACACATCACAGGGATCATTCATATTTGGACAAGAAATAAAAGGGTACTTGTTCATCATATCTTTTATTACAGATTTGGAACAATGTCCTAAACAGCTATGACATATGTCAATGCTTGTTGACTGCACTGCTAGAGTCTTATTCTGATTGTCTGCTATCCATGAAGTTTCTTCTTTAGCATCAGCTGGTTTGGTGTATTGCTGAGTGAGCATGTATAGACCTCTCTCCAATTTAGCAGAACCAATCATCTGCCTGGAAGGAATTTGCTGTATGATACATCTCTGATGCTGAAAGATCACATTGCAATTAGACTCTCGTACTAGTCTATTGATTGATATCAAATTCACCTTAAAGTCCTTAACATATAACACATTTGTTAATGTTAAAAAATTTGAAAGGACTACAGTGCCAGAATGAAAAGAGAGCACCTGGTTGCCATTGGGTAAGGTGATACCAATAGGTTCAATATTTTGAACACAAGATAGACTTGCAAAGGAATAGGTAATATGGTCAGTTACTCCAGTATCCAAAATCCATCTAATTTTGGAGTTACTTGAGGATGTGTCACTAGTCTCAGCACTGAGAGCTTTGGCTTGCACCATATTGCTACTATGAGGAGAATTCACTGTGGAGTGCTGCATAGATTGCTGAATTAAATTGAGGATAGTTTGATACTGATCCTTCGTGAAATTATCCTTTGAGATAATGGAAGCTGCAACTTCAGATCCTGAGACTTCATCTTCATTAAACGCCTCAATTGCATTTGCCTTGGGCACTATGGTTCTCTGTCTGTAACTAGGTGGATACCCATGCTTTTCAAAGCATGTTTCCACTGTGTGATTCATTCTTCCACAATAGGTGCACAATTTATTTCCAAAAGATCTGCCTCGTCCACCAGATACACCACGTCCTCTGCCTCGTGCTTGGA